GCCCTGGGACAGGATGGACCAGCCGCTGCCTCACTGACTGCCCTGACTTCCCTGCACTCAGAAGGAACAGAGCCCTGAGTCGATATCCAATGCCACCCTTATGTCCACTCTCTGTCCTCTCCAAACTGCTGAGCTCTAAGACTGTCCTAAGGACTAAGCTCCCTTCTGTAGCTCATAGGATATCAATGTGGCACACAGAGTTCTTTCAGCTCCCTCAGGTCCGGAAGCCAGTGGCGCTGCTATCTGTACAGACTAGGTCTCCCTGGTTCATCTATTAGAGACAAGGGAAGAACCCTGTGGGAAGCCTGGCTGTGCTAAGACACTGATCTGTCACTCTTCAGCAATGAGGACTGAGAGTGGAGCTTATTCATCTCTCAGGAGTAAGTGAAAAGCAAGGAAACTTGGGTCTACATGGAGACCACAACGCTGGAAGCAATGTGTTATCTTTTAGACAACTGCCTTTTCTTTAACCATAAACAACAAGGTTATTGTTACTGTAGTGGAAGCATAAGAGAAAACTGATTGATATAGGCATCCTCTGTGATCCTTAGACACTCTATGATTTCCTTCTATCAGGATAGCTTCATGCTTGTAAGCTTGCAGGATGACACAGGGTGAGCCCAAGTTCATCCCCCTTATGTCATATAATCTCTCCTCAGGAGTCCACTGATTCTTGACCAGACCCTCTGGACTCCACGCTCAGATCTGGATGCCCTTTGACTGTGTCCGGCCCCAGATTCCTTCCCTATGTTTCTTTAAATGTGTGTCTGTTGTAGTTGAATTATCACCTTTCCTGCTGCTTAGAGAACAACAGTGGAAAGGGAAAAGTGTTGGAGACCAGCTCCAACTAACGAGGTATCTGAAGGAAGACAGGCAGGACCCTAAGATGGGAAGGCATGGCGAGCTGAGATGATTCCTAAAAATGGGGAAAAGGAGAAAAAGGGGAAAGGGGAGCGAGGAAGACAGGGTCTGGAAGAAAATGAGCTAAATCAAAATCTGCATCAGAGCTGCCTCTGTAACCTCCCCGCAGCCCCTCCCCCACATCTGTTCCAAGCCCTCCAGGACCATAGAGCTTCACCCAGTCTCTGTGCTCCTTGTGCCTGCTCCAGGCCCACCCAGCTCTCCATCCTCCTTCCTTCCCCAGTCTCCTCTCCAGCTTCTTCCCCTCCCTGCTTAGCTCCACCCCTCCTAGGGTGGGGCAGGAATTGGAGCCTCCCATTTTCCTGGGGACCACACTGACACAGAAAACCTGAATGAAGCCTTTCTATGAATTGGGAACAAGGCTACCCTCATTTCTCAGTGTGCTCAGATGCAGTCCCAGCTAGGCCTTCATCTTAACTTTCCAGGATTTGCTGCCTGAAAGGATTCCTTGGTCTGCACCCCCTTCCTCTGTTTCTGTTTTGTCCCTAAGTCTGTGACTGGCAGCAAGAAAGAAAGATGGGAGGCAGAAA